AGTGTGAGAGAGAGAGTGAGAGAGAGAGAGTGTGTGTGAGAGAGAGTGTGTGTGAGAGAGAGTGTGTGTGAGAGAGAGTGTGTGTGAGAGAGAGTGTGTGTGAGAGAGAGTGTGTGAGTGAGTGAGAGTGTGTGTGGTGCTTGTAGGCCGCGGCTGCTCTCGCTCATGGCCTGTTCTCATCATCACACGTGTTTCTGTAGGAGGAGAGTATCAACAGAACTCCAGAGCTGAGAGAGTCTGTCTTCATGTCCTCCACTATTACACCAGCTTCACATCAGATCGATCAGTGACTCGGTTCTGTGGCCCAACACACACACACTCTCTCACACACACACTCACACACACACACACTCACTCTCTCACACACACACACACACACACACACACACACACACACACACACACACACACGACTGCCATAAAGACTGTCTTTGAGAGCCGATTTCCAGCTGAATCTGATCCGTCTAGTCGAGTCTCCATCACGGATTCTCTTATTTTCCCGTTTATTACCGAGACTCAGACGCGCATGAACGTTTGTGTGAAGAACCGAGCGCTTACTCGGAGTTTCACAGTGTAATGCTGACAAAGATGAACACAGAACAATGAAGAGAATCAATCTGAACAAACACTCACGGTGATCCAGACGCCATCGCCGAACACCGAACCGACACCGATGCGCAGCTTAAGCCCAAAGTTTGGACATCGATCCACAAACACACGCAGCGTGAGGCCTCGAGCGGAAGTCACGTGACTCCTTCTTCTTCTGACGCTTGTGTTCAGCGGCGCTCCGCCCCCTCTGGCGCCGCCTCCAGGCCACAGGCGGAACTGCGCTGAATATTTCTGGAAAGGCATTCGCGCTCACACGACACACAGTAAGCTGTATTTACATTTAGATCAAATTTTCTGAATTAAATCTGACACCTTAAATGTTGTACCTTTAATGTTTTTATTTGATCTTTATTCAGTTTTAAAGTCAACATGCCACGACTGAGTGAAATTTAGCTCTACAAGCCTCAAGGTCAAAGGTCAGCTTCAACTCTGCATTTTAAATCTAAACAATAGGGAAGCATGCAGGAGAACGCCACGCCCCTTTCAGAGCTTGACACTGATCTGTTCCTGATGAAGGCTGGAGTCAGGCACTGCTGCTGATGCAGCTTCACATGCAGGCCCAAAACTAATTTCCCTCGAAAGGGACAATAAACTATCATCATTTCCATCACATTAAGTTATTAATGTTGTTACGCTCAAACACCCACCAGTGCACTGAGTTCAAAAGAAAGGGTTAAAGGTACTGAATATCTCACTGCATTTGCATTACTACAGCTACACTATAGTGCTTTTAAAGCGCTCATGAACTGCTTCTTCTTATTATTCTGTACCGTTCTCTTCCATTATTGACAAACTGTTTTTCTGTTTGCTGTAAAGCTGCTTGGACACAATCTGCAACGCATTAAGTGCTAAACAAATAAAGGTGACTTGACTCTGAGGTGCACTTATAATGTTATCCAGATTTGGATTTTTACATCAAAAACATCACAATGTAGAAGTAATAGTCTATTTTCTGTTGTGTGTGATTTAGGTTAAAAACCCATAAATACTCCGTACATATCAAACGATCTGTAATAATAGACACAGCAATAGTGAGCAATAATTACTGTCAGATCCAATACAGTCACACAGCATCGTCTTTTAGTTTCAATCTTTCTGAAAATCCTGAATTGTGCTTCATTTGTCAACGAATCCGCTGTGACGCTCTTACTGACGAAGTCTGGATCTTTATTAAAAATAAAGTTCATCCACTCTTTCCTAATGTTGCGATCAGAAGGAAGGCGATGCAAAGACTGTGTTGTGTTGTCTTCGGAGCATCTTTATCGTTTGATTTCTGTGTAGACACAAATAAAACGGACTTGTCATTCTCAGGCTGTTTGCAGGAGAATCACTGCTCACCAAACAGAACCTGAAGCCTCTGATCAACCTTTTTCAGCTTCAATAAGAACTTGATTTCTCTAGAAACGCATCTTCACACTGGAGCTCAAAAACCAAAATACTGATCTGAAGAACTGATTAAGAACTGTAAGATTATTCATTGATAATGAAACATATAACCAACACCAGGACCAGTCCTGAACTTCATGAGCTGCTGATTCACAACGACATACCAAACCATCACACACTCAAATTCAGAAGTTCTACAACTCGAAGGAGAACCAAGCACTGAAGTGTGACGTGTATCCTGGATTTCTGCATTATTTTCTGACCGTCGAGCACAAATGGTCACCGGAGTCTCACCTGGACGTTAGTTTCATTATTGTGGATTCATTTTTTATTGCAGTTCTGCTTTACAATAAAAAATAGCTTTTTTATTAAAACAAAAAGGGCAGTACAACAAATACTACAATGATGTAGAAATACGTTACAATTTAAATAACTCCTTTTGACATGACAGATGAGAATTTAAAGAGGAATTTGAAGAAGAGGTAATTCATCATGAAAATAATGTGACAATGCTAAAAATCATAATGATCCTAAATACAAAATATAATCTAATTTTTCTTTTAATTTGGGAGCCGAGCGCTGAAGATGCTCCGTCTGTGCCTCTCGCCTGCGTCTGCTCGTGGGTTCAGAGGAAGATGATCACATCAGAAGTGCTGGTGGGACGCTGTAGGATCTAGCGCTTCAGCTTCAGGATGGAGAAAATCCCTGTGAGCCGCAGCAGCGTCCGTCTGAGCCCAGAAACACAGACTGAATCCAGTGAACAAACCCTGATGGAGACGGAGAATCCGCTGGACGTGTCAGAACGCCGTTCTTCTTCAAACGGAGACACGCAGACAAACGGACATCAAAACAACACGAAGAATGAGTGATCATCCCTCTCCGAGGAGTCTGAGATGCTTTACATCGTTCCAGTGTAAAATTGATCAGCTACAAAAATATTGAGATTTACTTAAATATTGAGAAAAACTGCTGAAGTCCGTCACGGCGGGTCGCCGTGAGCCGTATAAATAGAGCGTATAAAATAAGGCAGCAGTCTCGTCAGTAGATCGACCACAGAGAGGAATCTCTGGAGGAAAATCGTTCAAGGCCCGAAGTCTTCACAGATGCGGCGTAACGTCTGCTCGCAACCACGCACGAAAATAACAACGTGACGTTTCTGTCAGAGTCTGCAGATATTAAACACAATAACATCATCCGTGCTAATCACCTTTGGCGTTTAGATCATCTCTCGTGGGTCTGAGGGTTTTTATTAGCTAAAAAAAAAAAGAACTGGACCAAAATAAATAGCGCTCCACAGATGCGTGTTTCTGCCGCAGTCGAGCCGATCACTAGTGTTTCTTCACCGGAGGAGACGCGTCCATCGATCACGTTAGCTCCGCTCGTGTGTGTGTGTGTGTGTGTGTGTGTGAGTGTGTGTGTGTGTGTGTGTGAGAGAGAGAGAGTGTGTGTGTGTGTGTGTGTGTGTGAGAGAGTGTGTGAGTGTGTGTGTG